CTTTTTGACCTGAAATCCCAGCAAACATGCCATGAAGGAATACCCCTGGCCTCATGCCGACCAGCAAGCCAAGACTAGCTGAACCCTTTGGCCTGCTCCAGGAAAGCATGAAAGGCTGGCTTTGTGCCTTGACAGGAAGGAATCCAACATGCCCCAGGCCAGCTGAGGGGCATGGGGACATGCTTCTCGGGGATGAAGCGCGGCTTGCCATCCGCAACGATGATCAAGGGCCGGCACAGGCGACCCCCATCCGATGCTACAAAGATAGCATGCCAGCCTGGCACAGGCAGGCCGATTCTTGCATGGGCGGCGAGCTGTGAGGTGACACTTCAAGGCAAATCATGGATGCCAGTGCGACTGGTGCAACAGCTGACGCTGGACTATGAATGGAAAAGGCCTGGATGTTTCTCAGCGGGGTCAGCAGTGTGAATGAAGGACATTTGCAGAAGAAATGCGGGAGCACACTTCTTTCACATTGAGGTCACAAGATGTGCCAAGACCAGAAAACACACCTGGCTTTTGTGTAGCGAGCCCGAATACTTCAAGCAAGTCGTGCTTCGACCCCTCCGCCCCTCGGCCACAAGCGGCGCCTTCGTCCTCGTAGATGGACACAAACTCCCCGATCAAACCTCGACGCCTGAGCTGCTGCAGACCTTGGAGCAGCGGGGTGGCTGATTGAAAACAAGGCCCTCGAGAACAGGACCACCCCTCCAACCCAAATACATACACAAAACCGCGCAAACACGCAAAGACACGCAGACCCACAAACAAACAAACAAACAAACAAACAAACAAACAAACAAACAAACAAAGCAAACAAACAGACAAACAGAGCAAACAAACAAAAACAAGCAAGCAAGCAAGCAAGCAAACAAACACACACACACACACACAAACAAACAAACAAACAAACAAACAAACAAACAAACAAAGAAACAAACAAACAAACAAACAAACAAACAAAGAAACAAACAAACAAACAAACAAACAAACAAACAAACAAACAAACACCCACACCCACACACCCACACACCCACACCCACGCACGCAAGCGGAGGTCCGCCTGCGCGCGCGCGCGCCTCCCTTCGCACGCACCCGCGCACCAACGCATCCACACACACACACACCCAGCCACGCACGCATGCACATGCGCGAAAACAACAAAAGTAGCACCTCGGCCTTGCTTCAAATTGTCAGCAAGAGATGCCAACTCGAATGCTTCCAGATAGCCGCTGAATTGGGTACTTTCATCCTAAAATCCCGGTACATAGCATGCTTAGCATGCTTAGGGTGGTGCATGAGTTGAGGCTGAGGTTGTGATGCACCATGGACAGCACTCAGTACGGGCAACCAGACACCAGGTCACTTGCAGGATTCGCCCAGTGGCTGGCCATGAACCGCTTGGGCCTGCGATGGATACCCAGCAGGTTGCCGTTGAGAAACACCTCGTCATGTTCGAAAGGGAAAGAACGGAAGAGAGACCTGAGATTCAGGTTCCCAGGTTGTTATTTCCTAGCCCCGGTTGGTGGCGCGTTGCCGGTTGGTTGGTCATGGCCTGCAATTGGCACCCTGTCTCAAGGACAGACTCAGCTTGCTGGCAAAACCCAAGCAAGTTGCGTCACTGAACTTGAGTGGGGAATCATTTACTCATGCCTTTAGTTACTACTTCAAAGCATCGGGAATCCCTTCACACCTGGATAGGCAATGCAGCTCACACGGGCGGAAACCCCCAAAAGAGCCGCTTGGGAGAACAAACAACCAACCGCCGCCCAGAGGCCAAGTAGTTCCCAATATGGTGAAGCTCTTCGCCGCTCATGGCATGGGCGTCCTGGCAGGGCCCTGTAACTTCGCCGCTGGGTTCGGCGGACTTTGCCGCATGTGCTGCCAAACACGGGTCTTACACCAGCACCATCAGCATCCCCGGCACACCCCGGGATCACCAAAAGCTTTGGCGTAGGTTGGCCTAAGGTCTGTGGAGGAAGGTTGGAGTGGGTTGGGGTGGGTTTACGGTTGATTTGCGGGGGTGGATTTAGGGTTGGTTTGCGGTTGATTTGGGATTTGCTTCGGGTTGCTTTAAGCCTGCTCAACGTTGCGGTTTACGCTGGGTTTATTGGGGGGCTTGGTTAAGGGTAGGCTTAGGATGGTGAGGGCTCGTTTAGTGCTGTTTTGGCGTTGGTTTAGGGTTGGTTTGGAGTGCTTAGGGGTGGTTTAGGCTGGCTTAGAGCTGGGTTGGTTTTTGGTTTCTCCAGGGTTCGGGGCTAACTTATGGTGGGCTTAGGTGGGACCAGGGTTGGTTGGGGATTGCTTAAGTTTAGGTTTCTTTTGGGTTGGTTTAGGGCTAGTTTAGGGTTGATTTTGGGTTTGCTTAGGGTTTGTTAAGGGTTGCTGTAGGATTGGGTTGAGAGATGAAAGTAGCGAAAGTAACCCGTTCATCCATGGTGTGTTGAGGCTCACCGCAGACCGACACACCGGCCGACCGACCTCGCCCACCAATCTAACCCAAATAGGCACACCACACCATGGGTTGTTTCGGGTCACCACGGACCATTGGCCAAAGGGGCAACCACGTTACCAGTATGTGCTGCTGCCTCAGAGTGTTCGCCGCTGAGTTCGGGGAATCTGTGTTGCTTGATTCAAGCAACATCAGAACGGAGCCTGGCGAACACGACAAGCCTCACGCATGTTTGGGCGACCTCAACAAGTGGATAGGGGCGCGGATGGGCACCGAGGGTGTTGATCACAAATACAACTCGACTAAAACATACCAAACAAACACAACTCATCCGAGTCAACTCACTACCAACAGAAAATCACACCAACCTTGATTCACCGAAGAGGTTAAAGCACTACAGATTCTGGCAAGAACATACTAGTACCAATCAGTATTTCTTTTGATAAATCTACCACCGGCTCGCTGACTTTGCTTTGAGGCCGGGTGCAGTTGGTGGGAGTATGTCCACCTTTTCTGATACCCTAAGCACTTGGCAGCTCACAACTGGCAGCCGTCCTCGACCCCGAGACAGTAGCACATCTGCCGCAAGGCAGCTCCTCCTTGACCTGCACTCGCCGTTGCTTTTGGTAACGACCGAGGTTATGCCAACAAGTGGAAGCGACGCCAGAAACGCTGGCGCGTGCAGTGGCGGCCCACGTCTTTGCTCCATACAATAGGCATCTCACGCAGTCTATGCATGCAACAAAGGCTGGGGGACAATTCTACGGCCATTGATCCGGGCCTTCGCCTGTAGTCACGTGCGTAAGCAAGGCCAGGTGCCTGGGCTGGGCGCAATGCAACGCACTACACACGCACCAGCCAAAAGCGTGCAGGTGGCCAACCCAACTTCCACAGCGCAAATAACAGAGTTGCCGCCCGGAACAAAGGTGAGATGGGATCGCAAAAGAGCTACCTTTCGAAGGAGGAAGACAATGTCCAAAGAAAGACGAGGGCAACCATTGGACATGCGAGAGTCCCTGGCCATTGCACATGCGAGAGTCCCTGGCCAGGTTCACATTCAACTTGGTTTGCTTTTGCAACTCTCAATCTACAAACAGCGCAGCACATCGTGAACTTTTAGGCCATCCAAAATAAAGCCGCCCTTGGCCATCTTACCTTGGACTCAGTTGCTACGAAAGTTGCCACCTTGTGACAAGGCCTGCCATGTCCTAGTTGCATGTGGCCAAAGAAAACCGACCATGCCAACTGTTGGAAGCAAGTGGACGGAAATTGTGGAAAATGCAACCATCAAACCATTGGCTTACAGACCTTTGGTTGGCTGTTGCAGCATATCTCGAAACGATTCAAAGTCCCAGCGAGGCGTTTGTTAGGGTTGCGCGCAAAGCCCGAGCGCGCCGCCCCCCAGCGAGTCCGATCTGCACCCTTGCTTTGCAGCTTGTGCGCAAACAAATTGCCAATCCAAAGCACTACGGAACCTCACGCAAGCTTTCTACAAGGCCATGTCGTTGCCTTCCCATGTTGCACATCTGTTGTCGGCAGGGCTATGCGGTTGGCTTCGAGTTGGCTTTCGAAGTTACTCACTGGGGGCTTCCCCAGTTTGAAGACCCCATCTTCGTAACCGCAGCCAAGAAACTTGACCAGTCCGCACTGTTCCCCCTCTGGAGTGTCTGCTGGGCAAAGCATCCCCCACTGCGACGGCTGCAGGGCTCGGGGGCCTGGTCAAAATGATCTTGGAAATCCAAACCCCTAGAAGGCAAGTTTCAACACCCCCTCCCGCGCTAAATGCTGCGTGTATATTGCCCATCCAGCATCGCAGATGTCACATCACCTGATATACTCCTGACATGCCCCGCCTGCAACCTTCCTGCTTTTCTCGAACTGCGACTTCACTCGCATCCTCGGGGAGCCGCAGGGGGTGAAGTTACTTCAACCAGCCAAACTATGACGAAGAAGCCGAGGAGCATGGATCCCACGCAGGACATGTAGGAGAACCTGGACAAGACCTGCGGGCAGACAAGCTAAAGGACAGAACCCTGCAAGGAGGATTGCTTCTTGGCAGCACCGAGGCAAATTGCCGGGTCGCATTGGGGGGCCCTGGAACCGCTACACTTCTTTTCAAATGAGCCAAAATGGAACCCCCCAGCTTGACACAATATCTTCTGCTTGCTCCAGCTATTCGGCCCTCTGCAGCCCGGCCGCCTGCGAGACACCTGCCCGGTCGATGCGGAAGCGCTTGATGTTCCAGTTCCCGGTTGAGATTGCATTGGCCATCGCCCTGGCAAAGACGTACACCCGTGCACTCCGAAGCTTCACAATGTGGCTGTTGCTTGCTTGCGGCGGTCACTAGGGAACGTGAACCCTCTTTACATTGTTCTGGGCTGCTTGCAAGCATTCAGCGGCCGGCACCTATGAAAAAATCGCTAAAAAATCCCTCATGCATGACCCAGCCCCACCTTGTGAGTCGCGATCGGTCTTGCCACGACTCCAGGATATCAGGATACCTTGCTCTCAGTATGGAGTTGACCCTAAAGGATTGGCTCGCAGACCCCAGCTGGGGCACGAGGACATGTCCTTGGCGCGTGCTGCCGAAGATTGGTGCCACTTGGAAAGGAGCAAGTCGGCTTGCTTCTGCAACTCGGAGTTCATGCTCTTGAATTGGTCCTGGCGGGTGGCAAGCCGTTCCTCAGCCTATCAAGCTTGCTCAGTAGCCCCACGCTCCACAATTTATCCTCTGTTTGCATACGCTTTTCCCCCAAGGAAGAGATAATGATACTAAGCTGACTAAAATTAAACAATATTGTCATCTGCTCAGGTCAGAGACGAACGCTGCCACCAACAATGACAAGAGCCAATCCCTACCGGCCCGCGCCTCAAAAAGCACCTCCACCAGCTGCCCAGATAGCTCCAAGCGCTTGTTGCCATAGTAATCTCCTTGATCGAGGCTTATGGTGTGGCTCTCCTGATTGGTTTGTCCTTGTGAACATTGCCTAGTGACATACCACTGAGAACAAGATTGGGATCCAGAACCCCTCCCCTAAAAGGGCCGCTGCAGAAAGGGGGTTTGCATCATATTTCAACCTGTGAACGAAGGCACAAGGCCTCGAACCCTCTGTGTCTTGAAACACCCTGTCTGATGGGAAGGCCTCTTGCAACGATTCTATGACGCCTCTGACAGCGAGTGTCTTGCATCTAATTCAAGCCCGTGCCAAACCACCGCAGTAAAGCAACCCAAATCAAGCAACACATCAGCGCGGCGCCACGCGCGCGCTTCAAGCCAGCCCCGTAAGCAGTACTCTCTCGCGGACGGCCATGGCCCACGAGAGCTGCAGCTTGGCCGCTGTCATCCACCAAGCGCGGGTCATACATGGCGTTGATTACACGGCGGATCATCAGGCCAAAGTAGCCTCGTCGCATTCGTGGCCAAAGATTTTCTCCAGAAATTGGGAGGGCCTTCGAGCAACCAAACAACTCTTCGCCAAGTGGGGAGTCCTCACCATCACTATGCTGGGAGGGATCGTGCCAAAACGTCTTGCATGCTGGCTCCAAAGGGATCTCGTGGTCAAATGCCACAAGCCTGCCCCAAATGGCCAACACCAAAGCTTGGTGTGGCAAACAACCCGCCTTAAGAAACCGAATGTGCCCATGATGGGACATGCGAATGCCATGTTCTAGGAGGGGTGGAACAGTTCTATGCGGACAGCGCATTCCTTTCGCGGCATCAGCCAATGTATCACCTTTACGCTGTGTGCGGACCGCGCATTCCCTGTCGCGGTCAGGCAATGTATCATCTTCACGCTCTACCAGCAAACCCTTTGCGTTCAATTGAGGGCAGTTTGGAGGCAGATTTGCTACAGCTAGTGTTCCAAAACAAGCTGGCAAACACGCCGCCAATTCTTCCAGTTCACCTGCCGGATGCCCCGCTTCAGAACGCGAAAGCTCAGTGCAAAGCTCCGAGCTTGCCGCACTGCAGCCATGGGACGAATCTTGGGTGCCAGGTTTTGGTTCTGACACTCCACGTGTGACAAAACCTTGGATAGCAACATGCAAACAAACCAACTGAAGGCTGAGCAACCCCACCTGAAGGTGCTTCCCCTCCCTCAAAGTATCTGCCGGGCTGGGATTCCGAGCACGACTGATTTCCGACAAGGCATTTGTTGAAGGTTTGCTCAGTCTTGGAAGCATGGTCAGAGATCATACAAGTGTTCAACACGACGATTTCGATTTCAGAAATGGCGATGCCTATAGAACCAAAAAAGGCCTCGGGAATCCCACCGATGCATGTCAACAACTTCTGCCGTGCCTTCTCGCGCTCATGCAGCAAACAAGTTTTCTTTCCGCAGGTCTGAACAATCTCACTTTTCTTTGGCAAACTTACTCTTCCCAGCCTATGCAGCCAAAAGCACTCCGTCCTACTCTACCCAAATTGAGTTGGTTCTGCAACCATTGCAGCCAAAGTGCCAACTCCATTTGTCTCACTTAGGGGAGGATGTGCCTTCGTTTTGTGGCTCGCTGTCTTGAACTATTGTTCAGGGAGTCAAACATGGCTAAGAAAGGCTTATCTGGCTCAATCCTTGCCCAATTGTGCTGATACAAGCAGGTGTTCCAGTTTCTCCACGTTTAGCACCCTGAAAAGGATTGATGATGTTTGCCTCTGTCACCAAGGCGCTTGTCTATGAATGAGGTCCATGGGGTCTTCCTTGCGCCGCCGCTCCTGTCCTGCCCGCGCACATGTGCACACGCGCAGTTTTGGTAGCTTCAAGAAGGGCAACGCTGGACGAGTACCTGTGGCATGGCCAAGGCCCTGCCAAATATGAGCACATACCCGACACCAAAAAAATATCCTAATTATGACTTAAAACGGCCCTTAAGTGTCTTTAGTCTGGGCTTGTCGCTGGCTGCCATCACGACCTGCCTGGTCTGACCTTGATCTTTGCCGCCAGGTAGTCCAGTGCAGCCTTCTGCGAGAAAATGTTCCTCTCCTCGGGCACGTGCACCGCATCTGTGCATCTTGCACGCTTGAATAGACTGCTCAAACAATACGGCCGATGACAACAAGATGTCAACTCCGTAGCCTAAGCGTTGCGATACAGGGCCCCACGATTTTGCTTCAGTTGCCACAAGCGCGATATCGGGGCACTCAATGAGTCACGTCCCCAAATACCTGGTCTCCAATGCTACTTATCTAACTTGAGCACTTCAGACCCTCCTTGGCTTCAAAACCCGGGGCGCAACGCAGCACTGTGGCCCTCTCGCAGCAAAGATGCATCCCTTTTTGGGACCTGCAAGTTACATGAATTTCTTGTTGGTTCTAGAATAGCTTTTTGGCGCTCATCGCTTTTAAGCTCCTGATCATTTTGCGGCGCTTCGTGTCTGTGCTTTCAGCCTTGAAATCGCGACCTTTTACTACAAGTCGCCCGAAGTACACTTTGGGAGCTTCAGCCTCAGTACAAGTGTGGTGAAAGTGCACTTTGGCAGCTCCAGCTCAAAAATCTCATTTTTTCAGTACAAGTGCAGTACACGAAGTACACTTTGGCAGCAAAAGGCATTTTGTGTGCAAAGCGTTTCCGTTTTTGTTGTCGTTGTTGTTCAGCTACCAAGTCTGGCCTGTTTGCTCGCAGCAAGCTGCTTTTCCCAGCTGATAAGGCCGCTTCCCACGATTGTTCTCGCTGTTAATTCGCTATCGGTTTGCCGTGAGACTGAGAAATTGCAGTTTTGGACACAAGACACCTCCGAATGTTAAGCTTATCAACGGGGTGGGACCTGTGTTTGCCCTTGGTCGACTGATCTGGCTCATTTCTGTCCATGCCTCACTGTTGCCCAATGGCATCCCCTGAATGCGCCATGCATCGTGGCACTCTTGCAAGGAGATCATCAAGGTATCCAGGTATTTCCTCTCGATGCCGACCATCTGAACAATCTCCATGTCACTCTGCACGCCCATGGCCTGCATGCAAGCACGCCACCTACACTCATGCCGACTTCCGCTGATCCGTTCACATCCACAGCAAACATATTGCCATCCGAGAACTTGGGATCCGCCCGTTCAATCAAAGCCGATGGACCAGGGTGGCAAATTAGGAACTTCATAAGTAGCATTCTTTTTCATGCATGCTATGACACATGCGGCAACTCAGCAAGAGAGCGTCTTCCGCCGCACCTTCATGAGGATGGAGATCGGGATGAGCTCTGCAAACGAAGAGTGCTTGACATACAAACCCTTCTTCCGTGCCAGCGGATTGGCTACCACGACCTCATTTCGCGAACAGAAACCCTGTGATGCTGGCACTTCAACTGTGATGCTGGCACTTCAACCTGTACTGTGAAGGCTACTTCAGCCTGTACCTGCACAAGCCTCTAGGGCACATTCTCGACCCTAGAAATCTGTCAACATGTTCGGGATCGTGTAGGACTGATTGAGGTCCTTTGAGTCTGCTGCAGCCTGCTTTTGCAATCTGCCGACCACAGCGCCTATGCAACTTTGACACAAACCCATGCCGCGTTGGAAATTCATTCGGCAGCTTAACGAGTCAAGATTCCTTGAATGGCCAAACCATGACAGGTGTCAGATTGGCCCATCTCCAATCATTGCGGGAGGGAGCCCACAAATGCTGGCAAAACAGATTGCCCTAAGGCCCACTTGGCAGCCACCAAGTAGAGCACATCCAGGATTCTCTGCTTGCCCGTTGGCCATAGGGCCTATGATTAAAGCTCACTGCGTAGGCCCCTTGCACCGAACATTGCCATGCTGCCCATGATAGCCAGCTACTCTGCGGTGTAGAAGTTGGTTGTATTTGCTTTTTTGGGGGGAAGGAAATGGTCCTGTGCACCTTTTCCGACAGGAGGCCGTGCGGCTCTTGTTGTCTTCACCTTAGCTGCGGACAAAAAGGGCCAGCAGGGAGGAAAATAACTAACAAGTAAGTATGCTGCCTTGGCGGCGGGAGGCAGGGGGGTGGAGGTTGTCCAAGCGATGCGCAAGGCCGCCGCTGACGCACAAAGGGAATGCTTTCAGTTCCGCTGATAAACACGACAACACGACATGCTTGTTTCATGCTGGCAGCCTCAAAGTCAGAATGTTACAACTTGGGGATCGCAATGCGGCAACATCAAAATTGATGTGGTTTTTCTCAATGCAAAACGTGCCCCGTGGTTGCGTGCTCGGCATGAAGCTGAGACAAGAATTCTGCCTAAATCAGCACAATGCTGAAGCCTGACGAGAGGAATGTCCAAAACAAACACACTCACACTTGCTTCCCTTTGGGCTTGTTCCCTCGGAAAGCGCAACGCTGAGCCTTTGAGATCCAACTTGGCACAGGTGACCTGCCTCAAACAAAGAGACGTGCTCCGAGCTGCTGGATGAAGTAACAAAGGCTTGGAGTACTTTCTTCGAGTCGTACTCCACGACAATCCGGTTCATGAGAGCCTGCGCATGCTTGCAGCCAAGAAGGGAACTCCCAGCCGTCCATTTAGCACAAACCGGAGCAGGCCAGGCAGGCCATGGACATGTGGATTAAAAAGGCCATCTCCTTCAATGATGGATCCGGTTCTCGAGCGTTCTCGGCACTCACACGCGCATGCGCACATTCTCCAACATAGCGGTCAAAAATAACAATCATGAATCACGAGCACGTTGGTCAGCAATGATGGACACCCTGCATGGGACCCGCTAGTGAAAGAGCAAGCGTATGGCCGAAACTTTCATGGAACCAAACAAGTGGCTGCTTCTAATTTCGAATCTGCATTGGGCATTGCGTTCAAGCTAAGAAAAGCTCGAGATGCAAATGATTGGAACCGCATCTTTTTCGTCACTGCAAAATGCCTTTGCCGTCCCTTGCACACCATCTAGCTTCAGACCTTGGAACCCAGCCCCACGGCAAAACAAAACATGCAAACCTTACAAAAAGCAATCTCAGCGCGCTGGATTGACATGCTATCCGCATCCTCTGGACTCTGCCCGAGCCCATGCGAGGCCTGCTCCTGCATCATGAGCACCCGCTCCACCCCCTTCACGATGAAGTATCCTACGACTGGCTAGAGCGCCGTAACGAAACCTAAGCTGAATCTCAAAGCGGGATGGTTTATTGCATCATTGCAAGGAACATCATGCTCGGGAGACTTTGAACAGGGTTCCAAGAAATGGTTCGCAAGCACTAAGGCACATGCTGTCTGAGACGGCATTCACTTGCGCAGCAAGCTTTGTACCGCTTTTCTTTCTTTGTCTCCCTTTCCCACTATGTTGCCACCCTCCGCTCAGTGATCGAGCCTACGTATAGCCTTTTAGCCTTCGATCCTTCATTCAGCTTGATTCTGCCTGGGCGGGCCTCGCCTATTTTCAGGACAGTTCCCCAGATCGCAGCCGACGTGTTGAAAGGCGACCGACCGAGTGACCGAGTCCTCCAGGGTCATAGGGGCACTCACCCAGGGCCACTACCTCCTTGGCAGGGCACAGAACTTCCAATGAATAGAAGGGATCGGTGGGCAAAGCCATTTATCTCTTTGGAACGGTGCAAGAAAGAACACATGACCGGCAACTTGAGACATGTTCTTTCAACTCTCGAAGTAGTTACCTCCGCAATGCCCCGAAACACAACATACCGAACGCTTGCTGCTCACTGCACTTGTTTTCTGCCAGGGTTCTTCTTCTTTGCTCTTCCCACTGAGAACGCACAGGTTGCTGCGCAACATCACTGGAAGCATGCCGATCTCAAGGTCGCGTTTCCGGATATGACGACGGTCGCCCTTGTAGTAGATCACATCTACAAAGATGGGAGCAGCGTAGGTCAAGTCCCTCAAACGGCACATATGTGGGTTTGTTTCCTTGGTGCGTCCACAATCAATGACAAGGGACACTTTCAGCATGGACAGTGTTTTTGAACAAGGAAGGCTAACCCAGGCTTGCGGCTGACACCACCATGTCTTCGGTCTTCGATGGCTTTCCCACACGGATGTTCTCATACCGCAGGAACCAGTTCTTGTCAGATTCGCTTCGCACCACATTGTTGCTGGTCGCCTTGACGATCTGCTGCATTCGCACGCCCCTCAGATCGTGCATGTAATTCCTGCAAATCATGCTGTGCTATAGGTGTCCTTTTGGGGCAAATAGATGGCCCTGGTAGATGATTAAACCACCAGGTAAACCAAGGCCATGTGAGCCAATGCTGCCGGGCGGCACAAAGTGGTTGTACGAGTCCTGAGCCCAGGTGCAATTGCAATATCAAAGGAAGGGCCATACATCTCGGTGCAATTCAAGTTCTGCGCTCTGCTGTACGTGCAATGGGGCGTTTCTTGTTGCTGTCGCAGCTGATTCCAGCAGCCCGTTCACACGCTATGTCATGTTGCTGGCCTGGGCTCGTGCCCAGTACGAGTGCGACCCGTACATGAAAAACAATGACCAACAAAAAACAACGTCCTGGCCTTGCCCTACGCCATCTTCCCAAACACTGTCCTTGAAACATCTCCTCTTCGGACTTAGCTTTAGACGCACCTATTCGAAGCCTTTTTTCGAAGCTCCTCATAAACCACGTGCTGATGGAGCAGCGTAGCGCAACTGTTCGTGAGGCCAAAACTAAGAACTTGTTTTTTCCATAGGCTTTCACCGTGAAGTTTCTTGACAGTTATCAATGCAATGCGCCTTGGAAACCGGGCAAAAGCATACCAAACCCATGACGTGTTTACTGAGAACAGTTTCATAAAGCCTGTGCTTTTCTGCCTCTCGAATTTGAGGCTCGCAGTGACAGTCAGACTTGGAACGTCTAAAGACTGGAAATGCGCTGAGCCGAACGGCGATGTGCTGCGTCACCAGGCCCTTGTACTCCAAGAACAAGTCCACCAGCCGCCATTTGTCAGAGATTGATGGGACCTGCAAATTGCCAACTGGTCTGGAACGTTGCTTTGGCAATCAAACTTCTCCGTCCTGGGGTAAGGGGAAGGCATGTCCACCATGATGTGTGGTTGACTACCTCTGAATCATCTTTCTTTGAAACAAGGATAACCGCTTGCATAAGCGAACTGTATCTCCTGATGTCTGAGTAGCCGTAGCCATTTGCATACACCCCCCCACCCCGTAAACAACTAGTTCAGGTTGAAGAACCCCATGCTGCACAAACCTGCAAGCCCCTTGAATCATGTGCATTGTTACATCTTGTCATCCAAATATCACCTCTCCGTGCTTTCCACGCCAACCATTGGGATAACAGCTTGTTTGCGTGAAGCAAAGCTAGGATCCAAGGACCAGAACAACTTGATCACGCGGTGGTTGCCGTCGATGGGTTTCTACAGCCTTACACGCAGGTAATAATATACATATCTCTCTCTCTACATATTTTGTTTACGTATCTATCTATCTATCTATCTATCTACCTATCTACCTATATGCATACATCTAACGCTGTATTGCTATCAGAATAGCAAATGCTCACATGGTGGCAACAGGCATCTCTTTGCTAATCATTCAAGCGAAAACATGGCGCACTTCATCGCTTCATAGCACGGCATGGTCAGTCAAGCAAGTTAAGTTGTAGCACCGCATCATTGCACAAGAGCAAACACAAACCAGAGAATACAAAAGCGAGGGAGCAGCCTCGCGGCGTGTTCCATTCAGCGCGTTAGAGGTTGATAACATGGGCCCGGATCAGCATGCGCATAGTTTACCCCCCCCCCCCCTTCACAAAAAGCGAGTGGAGCCGAGGGTTTTCGAGTTGGGTCCTGGCTATGTGTTGTTCCTTCAATCAGTGTAAACAATCACCTGCGCTGGAATGAACACAGCTAAGCAAAGAGGAGCATGTCCAAGTCGCCTGCGCTTCCTCGGTAAGCTTCCTTTTCTTGATTTCCTCGGCTAAGCACTCTAGGAGTCTCTTCTGTGTGATTGGCCATTTCGGGTTGGGCAAATCGTTTGTAGGTCCTGCCTTGTCCAAAATAGCTCTAACAGAACCTGCCGACCCGAGCTGGCCACTGATTCCTTTTCCTGAGCCCCTGAGGCAGCTGGCCAATCACTCGACCACATTGCTAGCTGTACCCTCTCCATTCTTTGCACGAATCCTTCCCAGGGACGCCTTGCAAAGAGCCATGCGTGGAAAATCTGACGGTCAACCCCTAGAATCTGCTGACCAGGTGGCTCTTGAGGCGAGGCGATTGTTTTATTTGCTTGCAAACCCCCAAAAAGAAGAGTCACAAACTCCGCTCCAGCTACAATCGCCGCCCCCCATCACGGAGCACACCAAAAGACAACCGTACGGTGTCGTAGAACCACCGAGCAGCACAAGTTGCAGCGGAAACTGTGCCAAGCCGCTTCATCCCATGGCCACTCCTGCCGCCACCAGTTTCCTTGCAGGCACAGTGGCACAGCTTTCTAGAAGATTGGCACCAAGATTGACCGGTCAATGCTGGTTCCCCGCACCAGTGCCGACACGCAAGTACAGGCCTGGAAGGTTGCTTGGAGTCAACGCGTTCCGGATAGTGGGCTGTATGCTGCACGGAATGGGACGGGGCTGGATGGGATGGGATGAAATGCGGAGTGGGGTGGGTGGGTGGGTGGGTGGGTGGGTGGGTGGGTGGGTGGGGTGGGTGGGTGGGTGGGTGGGTGGGTGGGTGGGTGGGTGGGTGGGTGGTGGTGGGTGGGTGGGTGGGTGGTGGGTGGGTGGGTGGGTGGGTGGGTGGGTGGTGGGTGGGTGGGTGGGTGGGTGGGTGGGTGGGTGGGTGGGTGGGTGGGTGGGTGGGTGGGTGGGTGGGTGGGTGGGTGGGTGGGTGGGTGGGTGGGTGGGTGGGTGGGTGGGTGGGGTGGTGGGTGGTGGGTGGGTGGGTGGGTGGGGGTGGGTGGGTGGGTGGGTGGGTGGGTGGGTGCGTGGGTGCGTGGGTGCGTGGGTGCGTGGGTGCGTGGGTGCGTGGGTGCGTGGGTGGGTGGGTAGGTGGGTGGGTGGGTGGGTGGGTGGGTGGGTGGGTGGGTGGGTGCGTGCGTGGGTGGGTGGGTGGGTGGGTGGGTGGGATGAACGACTAGAAGCAACTTCTGGGCTTCGTAAGAGCTATCAGGCTATGGTGATTTTCGCACAGCGCACACATTGCGACAAGCAGCATGCGCTTCCCTTCGGGCTCTTCACTGCCGAGGCGCCGTGCTTCACCAAGGCCGGCGCTGGCATGCTATCCTTGGGGCCAGTGCCGTCAAGCCGAATGCCACAGCCGTGAACTAAGACAGAACACAAGAAGAAGCACGCGAGGCATATCCTACCTTGAAGTAGCAGGGAGGTTCTACATGATACTTGCTGGACATCAGGACTCACATCGACCGCGTCGCTGAAAAAGCAGTAAGATTGGAAGCTCACACCCAAACAGGAAAGAATACTCGGAAAGGCACCCTTGCTATGAATCTATTCGAGCTATTGCTAGACGCCCCACGCTCGCAGAACAATCTGCTGCGAGAACCCGCGAAAAACCTGCTTCGTGAAACCCAGAGGCCGGTCAGTAAACACTCTCAACGTGCCAAAAGCTAGACACATGAAACCAAGCACATGGAATGAAACTCAAGGTCCTCTTGGCTCGGATTCTGGTCAGAAGGGAGGTCAACACTGGTTGAAACTAGGTCAACACTGGTTGAAACTAGGTCCTCCAGCAGAGAGGTTAGAATAAGTTTATTTTAGAAGGGACACCCTCCCCCAAAAAAGAAACGGTAAAAGGGCACTGGGGAAGAAAAGTCACAGGCCGCGTGATACCTGATCTCCAAGGATCGCTCTGCCTGGGAGGAGCATGGCACCCAGCCCTGCCATCCCTCCTTGAGCCCACGGCTGCTGACCGATGCCAACTGCCAAGTGCCAATGCCCAGTACACAAGCAACACACAGAAACATGGACACACACACACACACAAATACCCAAATGCAAACAAAGCAACAGGGGCCCTCAATCAAATCTGCGTTTTGGGCTGACATGGGCTGAAGCTGCCATGCGCTCCGTCTGATTCTGCAACATCTCCAGCTGCTCACCTTGAGGCATGCCAATCCCGCCCGCGCAAGTCAAGGAATCCGCCCAAACGTGCAGCAGGAAGTGACTCATGCCCATCCCCGCCGCTTGGGCTGCGGCAGAGCGTCAGCTTGTTCTTGGGCGCATCCTCTGCAACGGCGGGTGCTTGGAGGCAAGGCTGTTTGAAGAACTCGGGGCCGCCGCAGCTTGGCCAAAGAAGAGTCGGCAAGAAATGATTTTTTTGTCACTTGTTGGTCCAACTAATTACCGATACCTTGGCGCACGTGCGCGTGAGGACCTTGAACCATTGGATGAAACTGGCAAAGGTGCCGAAGGAGTCGGTCCCCCAGCGTCAAGGCAAACATGATCTGCGCAAGCGCTGGGCTCCTTCCCCTTGTTCTCCGGAAAGCGAAGCGTGAAATGCTGCAGAAGTTCTTCTGTGGACCTGGTCCAGCCAAGTGACAGAGCATCATACATAACAGCACTGAAGGTTGCTTTCCTTGATGGTACACTTCAGCCAAGCGGTTCATAGGCGACATGGCCAACCAGAAAACAAAATGTGAGCTTGTCCAACCCGCGGCTGCTGGTTTCCGCTGAGAATGCCACGCTCCTCTGGGCACATCACCCCTGCGGCCGGGAAGCAGCTGTTGGGCTCATTCCGTCCGCTTTCAAAACGTGCCGCTTCTTTTCCAAAACGGCTAAATACCTACAGTGCTACATTGGCCCATTTGTGGCGTGCATTTTTTGCAAGGGGCGCTCCTGAGGGCTCACCAATCACATTGGAAAGCAAATGAGACAAACGGTCTGTGCAGCAATGTGCTTTCCACAACGCATGCAAAGCAGTCTGGTTTGATTCTTGGCTACTGTAAGGCAGGCACGCAAAGAGTGGTGAGTCTGACCCGAGGCTGTCAGGTGCAATCATTTGGTATGGCTACGGTACAACCAGAAATGCTTGGCCCGTCTCCGCTGGAAGAACCTGGATCCCTGCCTGAGGGACGACTTCAAAGAGTTTGAGCTATCAGCATGGGAGATGACCTCGGCTGCGCCTACCGGATTGCTGGCGCTCGGACCTATCATGGCGACCTCTCATCAATTAGATTCCGCCTGGAACTTGGCGAAAGGGCACCAAGAGCCTGCAGCTGAATGACGGGACACTTACCAGGACTAAACATACACGATTCACCTTTGAACATCTGACATGATCAACGCCTAGCTCCCTCAAGAGCACCGCCTCCGGGTTTCATCTGTGGAGAGCAGGTGTTGCCAGCCCTCAAATCTGGGCTGCCCGGCGCCGCCTTGGGCGGCAGACATCCTCACATCCGGACTTGAACCTTTGAGTGCAACCAAGCGGACAGGCAAAGACACGATGGCTCACTGACACGGCCCCAGCTCCTTATTGTGAGGACCATTGCTTCAAGCAATAGCCCGTGTGCATAAGTGCATGTCACAAGCAAGGCAGCCGGAAATGCACCCGGAAATGCAGGAAAACAAAAGTTGGGCTCTTTCAGGCTTGAGCGCCGTGCATGGGAAAATGCTTGTGGCCATAAGGCTCAACTACCATCCTCATGAACGTCATCTTTGCAAGCCCTGAATCGACGATCTGGCTTCACATTCCCAATCTCTTTTATAGACAACTTCTCAACTAAATAACAATTCAAACCAATCTCACCAGCACTCCGAAGCAGCCCGCATTTTGCTGCGGATCTCGCATCTGGCATGGGCAAGCCAGCTGAAGGGAATGCTTGAATGCTTGAATGCTGGAGGTCGGCTCTAGCTGCTTCATTGATTCATTTTTTCCCACAGTTGGCATGCCCTCATGGGACCGGCAACATGGACTCCCGTGATTCCACGGGTTTGGCGAAATCGTGTCCGAGGTACGCCTGAATACCGCTCACAGTCCCACACCCCTATTTAGCACATGCCGTGTATCACAGAAGAAGCTGTTGACTATGCGGGATGCTGAAGGGGGTGGCTACTGCATTCAATTTATCTAAACAAGACATATAGCATGATATGTTAATATACTTTATGATGTCGTGTGGCCGCTACGGTGAAGTCAGTGAGACCAACAGCTGCTTCACAGCATGTTCTTCTCGATCTCGGACCTCGGATTGCTGTCTCGACTGGCTGCCCACACTGCCCGACACGGCTTGCCTTTGAACCGCCCAAAAGTTGGCATGGCTCAAAGCGGTCCTGTATGCTGCACGCCCGCCCACGCGAGTGCCTACACAAAGCTTCCGCGACTGCAAGGGGTGCCTGCAATTGCCTGCGGACGCGTTATTTGTGGCTTTGCCTACGCAAGCCGCTTGCCCGCCGCTTGCCCGCCGCTTTGCTACCTCGAGCTTTGTAGCTCTGTGGAGTCATGCATTGCTCGCATGCGGCCTTTGAGTTTAACTGTGATTCACGAAATGCAGCTCCAGCTCCACTTTTGGTACAAGTGGAGTACTCGAGGTCGAAATAGGAAGCTTAACATGAACCCGTCCGGAAAGGGACAAATTCTATGCAATGTGCGCGGATGGAGGCAGTATGAGGCAGTTCCGTTTTGAAATTATCCAGGCCTGACTTTCTGAGCGATAGGAGACGGCTAGCACTGCAGCCCTCATAGCCACCATAGTACCATAGCCGTGCGGTGCGGAGCCTGCCCCCCCTCCCCAAACCCCCAAACCCCCCCAAACCCCTGGAAAAGTAAGGGTAAGGGTAAGAGAGGCATCTCTGTTCGGTGGGAATCAAAGAGAACGCGTTTCTTTTTGGGGCTCAGTGGAGACCCGCAAAACACACACACACACACACACACGGCTTTTCAAAACTGCAATCTTAGTGGGTGTCTTGTACTGAATGAGCTGCGTGAAATTTGAAGCTGGCAGGACTTGAACCTGCGACTTCCCCGCGACAACTTTGGGCGCGCTACAGCCTCAGCTGACCTCTGGTACCATTACTCAGGTTTCATGTCAACTGCAGAAATGTGGGGACGTGCCAAGCTGGCAGTTGATGGCTTGGAACTCCCAGCAAACATTGCGCAGCGGGAGGCGGCAGCAGCAGCAGCAGCTGCTGCTGCTGCTTGTTGGTGGTGTGGTAGACTTGACTGAGTCACCCCCCCCTTTACCGACCACTTGGGCTGCTGCTGGATTCGCAGGGGCCGATCTGGGCCCCAAGCCCTCAAACCCCCCCAAACCCCCCCACCTAAAATTGCCTACGCGAACACAGCGCAGTTTCCTTTTGCAGAAACCTTGACGCCGAGGAAAAAGACTACGCTGCCCAGCTATGCCTGCTTGTCAACAGCTTGTCCCCACTTGCCACGCACAGGAACCAACATCAGGCCAACAACAGCAGTGAAGAGAGAGAGAGAGAGAGAGAGAGAGAGAGAGGAAGAGAGAGAGGGAGAGAGAGCGAGAAAGAGAGAGAGAGCTGGAAAGCCAACCTGAAACCACACAGCCCTCATCATGGATAGATGCTGCTTCAGAGTCAATGTTGGGATGGGGCAAGTAAACCAGATTTGCCGATTCTTTCTCATGGAGTATGTCCAAGGCAATCATCAGTTTGGATATGACGTCCCCAAACGAAGTCCTCCGAGTGCCCGGGCAACTTGGCGGAGGGCACCTCCCTGAGAGTCGCCGCGCAGCCCTTGACAAAGGCCCGGACCTACAACGTCGAACAAAATTGAAAGCTGAGAAGCGAAGGGCTGGGAGGCCCGGGAATGACACTGCTCAACGTCTTCGTCATATTCGTACCTCAACATGACTTGACAAACCCCTTCATGGAAAACAAGTATAAGTAGGACCTGGCACGAACGCTTATTTATCGACCTGGCTGCTTCACACGGGTGGTTTGCCAGGCTTTACGGCGGCTGGGATCATGTGTCGATGTAGTCAACCTTTGTAAAGCTCGACTTCCGTCCACAGCTCGTTGCAGTCATAAGCATCAACAATTGTGTTTGGAAGCGCCCGAAGAACCCTACGCCATGCCCGAACCTACACAGTTGCTTTCCATGTCTGGCTTTGTGTGGTCGCGGATGGCCGTACACCGCCCCTGCAACCTGATGTGCATCGAGATCATATGGCCGAGCCCCGCACAGTGAAGGGCGTGCCGCCTCCTGGGCGCTGCGTGAAAGCCGCGGACCCCTTTTCCCAAGTTAGGCGCATGTTTCCAGGGCGGTGCTGGCTTCGCAAGGGCGGCGGGATGCGATCCGCAAACCACATGAACTCACTCAGAAACTCAGAAAAATGCCAAGCCGTCCTTCCAAGCAGGTGGCGTAGACCTGGGCACAAGTGGCTGGTGCCAAATTCAACCCACTCAAGCTGGAACATGCTGCGCCACGCACGGCATACGAGAGAGCGACATGACCAATGAGTCACGAAAGCCACGAAATGTGTTGTTGAAGCAGGGCCGTCTTGGCAAATGTCACACCTTGAAAGCACAAGGAATTAAATATGGCATGAGCTAATCTGACCAGCTACTGCCCTGCAACAAGTCTCCAGATTTCCGGGAGCGCACATGAAACGCTCAACAACCAAGGACCCTTATCAGTGGGGGATGGAAAGCCCCCACGAGTACATTTCCAGACCGAATCACGCTTGTAAGGTCACGCGACGAAATCCATGAGCTGCCCCCTGTTTTCAGCCGCTGAGTTCTCGGCTCGAAAAATGGCACCCTTTCGGAGCTCGAACTCGCCGCTGAGCTGACAGGGGCGCAGCAAGCAGCTGAGTCCATATGAGGTCCGTTCGACTGATATGTGCCAAGGGACCAAGTGTGATTCCCCAAAGCAACCATGGGGTGACCATGCTCTCTTCGTTCGATCCCTTGCAGCGACTGACAGCTTCAGTCATTCTTGTCAATGGCTAGCGCAAGTCAGTGGTTCGTGGGTACAAACAGGCTGCTCGTGTCACCGCCTCCTGCAACTTGCCCTCCTGTCGCGCAGGCGTAGGTGCACGCTACACATTGAAGTTGAGGGCCTCGCCTGCTGGACAGAAAACAACTTCTGCTTGAGGGGGCCATTTGTTTCTCAAGGGGCGGGAAAGCAAAAGCCAGCCCTCGAGTTTGCCGTAGTTTGGAGAGACTGCGTTGATCTCTGGTCCTGCTTCAGCACACGCTGCCCGTCAGGATCTGCCGAGGTAGCGGAGGTGTGATGGCGGTCGCGAGCAACAGTATCAACCAATGGCACACGAATGACATAATATTGCATGTATTCTGCTTCTCTCCGGCTTCCTGCTCCGGCTAGCAAACTAGTTTCCTATTTCCCATTGCCCCCTTGACATGAAAGCCGAAATGTCAGTTTTGATGTTTTGCACGTGCCACTCCTTTGAACACATTTGCAGGCTTCCCGTTCGCTAAGCAAGCGGGCTCAAGGGTTATCCATGCATGCCGCCAGAAAGCGCTCTCGCTTTAGTGCTTACTCGGATCAGTGGGTTATCAAATGATCTATTCTTTTTCTCCCAGCTCGAAGGGTTGGAACTCACCCTGCACTATGACCTGCCAATCAGAAACTGCAAGCCAACCCTTCCCGTATGAGGAAGCAACGCTGGCCCCTCCCAAGAGACTGGCCTAGCACCACCATCATTACTCGGGAATAGGTGATGTCCTCGGGAGAAAAAACCATGCACAGCGTGGCTGGGAGCAAAACAACAACCATGCATGCAAAATAAGCCCTCCTTTTTCGGCAAGAAGAACAACTAATGACATGTTGAAACCGAAGGAAGAGAAATGGGGTGATCAATGGACGTGGCGACTGCCTGACGCAAGTAGTTGGTCCACGGCTCATGTTCCGCCGTGGATCAAAATGCAATTTCGTGTGTTTTTCCCCCTTCGGGCAGCTGCAAACACTGATATTTCAGCACTGTACCATGCCAGCCAGATGGTAAGAACACCCGCTCACGCGCGCCCGCTCAGCACTGCACGCATGCCAGCCAAATGGTAAGAACACCCGCTCACGCGCGCCCGCTCAGTACTGTACCCATGCCAGCCAAATGGTAAGAACACCCGCTCAAGCGCACCCGCTCAGCACTGCACGCATGCCAGCCAAATGGTAAGAACACCCGCTCACGCGCGCCCACTCAGCACCGCACACATGCCAGAACACCCGCTCACGCGCACCCGCTAAGTACCGTACCCATGCCAGCCAGATGGTAAGAACACCCGCTCAGGCGCGCCCGCTCAGCACTGCACGCATGCCAGCCAAATGGTAAGAACACCCGCTCACGCGCGCCCGCTCAGCGCTGCACACATGCCAGCCAGAGCGCGCCCGCTCAGCACTGCACACATGCCAGCCAGATGGAAAGAACACCCGCTCAGCACTGCACCCATGCCAGCCAAATGGTAAGAACACCCGCTCACGCGCACCCGCTCAGCACTGCACGCATGCCAGCCAAATGGTAAGAACACCCGCTCAATCCCGCTCACACCCACTCAGCACCGCACACATGCCAGCCAGTGGTAAGAACACCCGCTCACGCGCACCCGCTCAGCACTGCACGCATGCCAGCCAAATGGTAAGAACACCCGCTCACGCGCGCCCGCTCAACACTGCACACATGCCAGCCAGATGGTAAGAACACCTGCTCATGCGCGCCCGCTCAGCACTGCACACACCCGCTCACGCGCACACGCTAAGTACCGTACCCATGCCAGCCAAGTGGTAAGAACACCCGCTCACGCGCACCCGCTCAGCACTGCACGCGTGCCAGCCAAATGGTAAGAACACAAGCTCACCAGTGGAACCCCTAGCGAGTTTTTGCTTGCCCTGGAGGCGCTGCTGTGACAGACAAGGAACGCGGTCGGTGTTTGATTGGCAAAAAACTGTGCATCGTGCCGGTTTGAAAGTAGTTCACGAGGACCAAAACCCTTGTTTTTATTGGGAAAAAACCAACGAAAACAGCAACCCTGCTTGGGGTGGACGTGTGAAAGGCTTCGGTTCATTGGGATTTCCCATTGGAAAACACGTGTTATTCTTGACTTGTGCTACTGAAATCCTGTTGTGACTCACGGCGGAATATGAGCCGTGTTCCTAGTTAGCCTGGCTGGGGGGGGGGGGGAGACCTGACACGATCACGAATCGGCATGGCACAAGACAATGGACAGCGATGGAATGCGAGCCTGGGATCTGTATGTCGGATTGACAAGTGGCAAACGAACTCAAACACAACATCAGATGCAAGAGATGCATCGTCTGTTCCCGTAAGGCCTTTGAAAACCTGCAAAGCATATTCCAGGTCCTTGTAGTTCAGGCCATCCTGCTTGCCTAGGACTGCACAGAGAGGCGAAATGTCAGTGTGGATGTTGCAGGATTTTGCCTGCTGCAAGCAACCTCCATGGCTGGCGCACAATTTGCCGCAAATCAAACACGGGTCAAACCCACTGGTTGGAACATCCGTAAGCAGGGGCGCGGAGTTGCGATCCTGTCCTACCCAGGGCTGAGTTGTTTCAGATACGATGCCCAAGCCATCTCCGAACGCCGGCTGCCGCCATGGCACGCTTGTAGAAGCGCCTCTGCCGATGCGCCAATGGCTGGATGAGCTGGACCTCGCACACCCGAAATGAGGCATTCAGTTGGTTTGCCTACCCAACGCGATACATATACACACATATATACTAATATATATGCATGTGTACATATATATGTATACATATATATATATATATATTTATGTAATATGTATATATATATATAAACAAAAAACATGTGAATTCAGTCAAAAGTGGTCAAGAAAAAACGGCTCCGGCTCGCTTGCAGTGAGCCAATCTCTGGGGCCCTCGCCAGAGCGGTCCTTAGAACCCGGAGCCTTCATGGACCTGCACCTGCCTTGCATCCACCCAACCGATTGACGCGTTGCCCTACCGCACAAAGACCAAGGATTGAACCGGTAACTAGGTATTTGCTAGCGGGGGAGGCTTTTTCTCTAAAACAGCTCAACTGATTGCAGGTTGCAGGCTGCGTTGAATCACAATGAATTGCTTGGCATGCAGCATAAGTTGCATAAGGTTCAAACGTGCTTGCTTAGCGGGGTTAAGGCTTTCGTCCTAGCGAATTCTATATTCCGTGCCCACTCGAACAATGAAAGCTCCCCCCATCCTATGGCCATGCAGCCTGACCCACTCCGTGGACTGGGAGCCGGGCATTTTCTCCTGGAGACCGCCGATGCAGGCAAAAAAAACCGAGTCAAGATCTAGTTTGCAGGATCTGCTCTGCAATTACGCGGGCTCTCCAAACGACGGAACCTTGTAACTGGTTTGCTTCCTTTCGGAAAACACGAAAATATACTGATGCTGAACCCTGCACATATCCCCATAGCTCGGGACTGGCGGGGCAGTGCCTGACCTTGAATCGCCAAAGAGAATAACAAAAACAACCCCCCCCCCAACAAAAAAAAACACGCCATTCGCTGGCAGGCGCAGGTGATCTGGTGCATTTACTGCTGCAGCCGAGTGGTGCCTCTGCCTCTGCCTTTCGAGGCTCCTCCGGCTTTTCGTCGTCTTCGGTCTCCAGGTCAAAGCGTGAGATGGCGCCTCATTCACCCAACAAGTGAAGGCGTGATGCTGCACAAACATGGAGGGGCAACCAGGCACTGAGCAGCCGGCGGTCGGCCAACTTGACATAGTTGCCTGGGAAAAAGCCTCAGACGACTATGGAATGGCTGCAGTGAGGCGCCACAGCCTGTGCCAAACCGGCCATTTATCCGAACGCCCGCTTCCCTTTGGCCATCTCCAGCTTCCCCCCCCCCCCCCCGCACCCGCAACTCTGAGCCGGTGACCGGACTGGCCATCCACAGTGCCAGTCCTGAAGGTGACTCGGAGCTGCGAGGTCCACGCGCGATGGTCGGCAACGTTCAATGGGTTGCTGTTCAATGCCAAAACCGACCGACTCTTCGGTGCTGGTTTAACGCTGACAACTGGCAATTCTTAAGTGGACTTAGGTTCTGCACTTTCGTCGCCCCCCACATGACCCGAACGCCAAAAAGTGTTGTGCTGGGGCACGGGCCACCATCCCGGGGCGATTCTGTCAACGTCCACCTTGACACCTGAGCGAACACCTATTCCGACATACTCCGACAAAGCCGGACACCCATCATTGTGGAACCTGGGAGAAAAAACAAACAACTGGGCAATGCAGCTAGCTCGTACCTTTGAGCCCACTCTTCTTAGCCACAAAGCTCCTGAGCCTGATATGCATGAAGACCATGCGCACCATCAGGACCAACGTCAGCCCGGCCTTTGGTCAAATTGATTTCATCGTCGGCGCGCGCCTCGAACAAGTCACAACAAGCCTTGTTCAAATTGCGGCTACTCTCGCAAGTAGCCTTCCCGCGCTTGCAAAGCTGGCATTCCACATTTAAACCCCTAAATCACCTGTCAAGAGAGATAAGCTTCATTATGCGGACGGAGGTGCACTTACGTGACTAGTACCCATGAATTCGCACTCCCGGATTTGCTGCAGACATTTGGTCGTAACAACTCATGCGTCGCCAGGACGTCAAATTTACGGCCACAAAGGACTCTGCCGCTCGCCTTGTAGCTCCACATGGGGATGGCCTGGCATCAGCGTTGTGAGGGAAACTCGCGGAAGTCAAAACAAATTTGGCCCGTAGAGCACACCTTCTGGGTGTCTCGCCCTTTGCCAAATGACTGGCCCCAACTGGGGTCGATGCTCTTGAGGATTGTGTGCACACACCTTAATCCCATGCTTCAAAAACCAAACAGCGCGGGCCAACATATCTTGCAGCTAGCCGTTGGCCGGTCCAAGCAGTGCGCGCGTTTCCTGGAAATGCCATTTCAACACCTGCGGTTCGGACCGTTAACCGTGTTTGAAAGCTTACCCTCCCACCAGCTGACATGGAAGTGCACAGGCCCCTGTACAAATTAAGAGTACTTTCCTCTTGGAAAGGGCCTTTTTGCACTTCCATGTTAGTAGGTGGGAGGGATGTCGAAATTTACGTTTCGCTTGAGCAATGGCTGGCTTTGCCGGCTAAGCCTGCGGTGTTCTGGCAAAAGAAAATTAAAGCACGCGAGCGCCCACCTGCATGGAATTCTTCTGGAAGTAGGAGTACTGCGACAGCTGCTTCCACCTCTGACGATGGGTGTCTGAAGTTTGGATTTGGTAATTCCATCAGGGACGGAATCTCGCCGAAATCCGACCGGATTCCGACTATGTGGAAAGCAGGGGCTGGATTTTGGCTGGAAAGCGCTCCTGGGTCCTGCCCATTTGCACCCAATACTGGGGTAATGAGGGAACCGCACGGTCTGGTCCATCATGGGCACGCTGGTGCAAAAAAAAAGAACAAGTGCAAACGTTAACATGATTGCTTGAAATCAAGCCGCAAACCAACTGAACGGAGTTTGCTACAGCTGGCTTACTCGTTCGCCAGGCTTGCATTCTCGTATGGCACAACGGCACTGTTCAGCTTTTGGCAAGGAAAAACCACCTGTGAGTGACATGACAACCTACAAGAAAATGCACAAAAGCCGGAGCAAGGCACGGGATTTCACGTGTCGAGGCTCAAAGCGCAAGCTTCAACACAGCGTGGCTGGCAGAATTTCATCCATGTGTGATCTTTGAAAGTTGCCCGGGTTGAAAATAAGACGCTTTGAGAACATCCGGGAGGGGCAAGGTGCTGACAAGAAAAGAATCACAGCAACATGAAACCGGCATCGAATATTACAAACCTGGGGCCGGCACTGGCACCCAAGTGTGCGGGCATAGGTGACACCCCCAGAGGTAGCCAAGAAGTCCTGCACAAATGCAAAGTTCGGGCACTTGGCCATGTTCGGGACTGCCAAAGAGGAAGTCAAGGAACCATGGCCCAACGCTCTGGCATTCATTTGTGTCAGCCAGCAATGAGAGGAGGTTTGCTCACTGCACAACGCTGATCATGTCATAGTCACGCATGTACAAGGCTGTGAAACGATGTGACCAATGCCATAACACTTCATTGAATCATGGGCGGAAGGAGGACAGGTATCATAAGGTTTGGGTTGTTGCCATCTGCCCAGCCGCACTTCCACGACTTCCATTTGCCTGAGCCCCCTGGAAAAACTAAAATATTGCCGGGAGTGATATATTCCCTCTAAAAACCATCAGGGGGAAAGTAAAACATATTCTTAAGCAAACGGATGACGATGAGAAGCTACTCGGCTGCGCCCTTTTACCACCGCAGCGTGGAGCTCCCAAGGAGCCGCTTGGCCAAAAGCGCTCCCAGGAACCCTTGCCGCGCGTCGGTGGGCAGCTCGCCTCAGGGGTCCATTGCGGTCTGGGCCCTTGGTGGCTGTGGGTCAAAACCAAGGGTACCATTTTGGGGAGGTGCACCACCCATTTTAGAACCTATTTTAATGGGGATTGGGATGTTCACTGGAGGTACGGGATTTTGAGCCATGGCCTGGTTGCTTCCTGATGAGGGTACGCATGCAAATGGTGGGCTCGCTGGCGTTTCCAATAGGCAGAAAGCTATCCACCAACGGAGGGCTCCAAAAACATCAGGGAACTCCCCGATTGGGGATTGGCATTGCCAAACTCATTTGTCTCCCGTGAAGGGCTCCTGCACTCCAAATACTTGGTTGTTCTCTTTACATGTCCTGCTTGTTCCTGCTGTCTTTCCACAGAGCCCCTTTGCTGGACCCAAGCAATGAATGAAGCCAAAGCGCAAGGCGCGTTCACCACGCTCAACTACAGGGGTGTGAAGATGGGACGCGGGTGCTCTGGCAAATGTTTGACTTGAGCAACCTTCACCAAACACAACTTATCTAAGCCATAGTAACCCTGCACTAACCTGAACTCCCCTGAGCTTACCTGATCTTGTCTCTTTACTAACCTTAACATCCTTGACTAAGCTTGACTAACTGAGAAGACTACAAGAAGCCTACGGGACAACTGCGCAAGCTACCGCTTCTAATGGGGGACTGGATGTCAATGCCAACTGGGTCTTCACAAATCTTCCCGCGAGCAATCCTGTTTCTGACAATAAATAAAGCCTGAGGTGCACTTCTGGAAGTCCAGCTCCAGCTGCGCCAAGTTGGGCCCCAAGCTGTGGGCCAAAACTGCCAGGCCCTTTGTGCCGACGCGGCAACAGCGGAGGTCCTCACGTGCGGCTGGAAAGCACAGGTGACCCAGTCCACATTGCCAC